AAAATGTCATAAATCTCACAGTCCACACTGACATGGCAAACAAACATTAATGCTAAAAGTTTGCAAAAGGGCAGAATTGTGTAGGGAACTGAGTAACCACCAGGGTAGAGAGACATGAGAACTAGAAATGGAATTTCACACATTTTTAATAATTTACCAAATCATTTTAATAATGCTTTACATTTCAAAATCTACCTTTAAGGTTGATCTACATATATCAGACACACTTTTTAATCATCATCATCATCTATTGAATTTCTACTCTGTGTTTCTCCCTGTAGGGGACCCAAAACAGCTTGCAATAAAAGTTTTAAAAATGAATGATACATAAGTTAAAAAGCAAATAACCCTATTAAAAACAATGGTTGGAATTCTATCATACTCAAATCACTACACCATGCTGACTCTCACAGCAATACGAATATCTCCTTTGGCTCTGAAACAATAGAGTTAGATCTGAATCCTACTGGTTAGTCCCAGCTAGAGGAAAGCTATTGAAGATATTGATGAACATAAAATCAACAGGTAGGTAAATTCTATTGATTCAGTAGGTCTTCTCTAGTTTGGTCAGTCATAATCTACAGTTCATAGACTCAAAATTTAAGCATTCAAACAAAATATACATGCCATCAACTTCCCCAAAATAAAATTCCCCACACGAATACAAGAACCGCAGAAGTTGCTCAGCTCTAATTGTCCCTTTGCACAAAGCACAGAATGAGCTCAGGCTTGCTAGAGGGGTTAAGGACAATAAAAAGGCCTTTTTTGGGTATGTCCGTAGCAAATGAAAGAAGAAGGAAATGGTAGGGCCACTGCACAGAGAAGATGGAGAAGTTCTAACAGGGGACAGAGAAAAGGCAGAACTACTCAACACCTTCTTTGCCTCAGTCTTTTCACAAAAGGAAAAGTGTGTTCAACCTGAGAAAAATGGAGCAGAGGACACAATAGGGGAAATACAACACAGAATAAGTAAAGAGGAAGTACAGGAATACCTGGTTACCCTAACTGAATTTAGGTCTCCAGGACCAGATGAACTACATCCAAGGATATTAAAAGAACTTGCAAATGTAATCTCAGAGCCACTGGCAATAATAGTCTTTGAGAATTCCTGGAGAACAGGACAAGTCCCAGCAGACTAGAGCAAGGCAAACATTGTCCCCATTTTCAAAAAGGGGAAAAAAAGAGGATCTCAACAACTATTGTCCAGTTAGTCTGACATCAATACCGGGAAAGATTCTAGAACAGTTCATTAAACAGAGAGTATGTGAACATTTAGAAGGGAATGCCATAATCACTAAAAGTCAACATGGGTTTCTCAAAAACAAGTCATGCCAGACTAATCTGATCTCTTTTTTTTGATAAAATTACCAGCTTGGTAGATGAAGGGAATGTGGTAGACATAGAATATCTTGATTTCAGTAAGGCTTTTTACAAAGTCCCCCATGATATTCTTGCAAACAAGATAGTCAAATGTGGGCTAGACAATACAACTGTTAGGTGGATTAGTAAGTGGTTGACTGACCAAACCCAAAGGATGCTCAACAATGGTTCCTCTTCATCCTGGAGAGAAGTGGCCAGTGGGGTGCCACAAGGCTCTGTTCTGGGCCCAGAGCTATTCAACATCTTTATCAATGATAAGGGGCTTTCCCCTGTTTCCAGCAATGGCACACAATCAGGAACACAGTTTGGAAATCGAAACAATGACCTCAGGAACTTGGTTTGTTGTTTGTCCAAGAGGTAAACAAGATGTTTCATACACACATTTTGTGCTTCATTGGGAGCAGGCAGGATTGGAGAAGGTCTAACTACCTTTCTCATAGCTGGACACACAATGCTGATATCAAGACTAAGATCTGGGGAGGGAGGAGTGTTTCTTAAGAGAGCTTTGCACTTTTGTAATCTCCGATCCTGCCTGTTCACACTGAAGTATGGAATGCCTATATAAGATGGCCTTGGAGCTTTAAACTAAGTTGTAAGGGGTGGCTTTGGGCACTACATGGAGAGCACTTGAAAAATCAGATCTGCACATGTAAAGGATACATACATGTGCTGATGTCCCAATGTGAATTCCAGTTTAGATTGCTACCTTCCATCCAACTCTCTACTCAGCAGAATTTCACAACCAGTCTTTAAAGGAGGGTTAAATATCAATGTCATGTCTTCTCCCTGGTACTGTAGGGCCTAAGCATGGCACACAATCAGGAACACAGTTTGGAAATCGAAACAATGACCTCAGGAACTTGGTTTGTTGTTTGTCCAAGTCAGGAGATAAACCCCCTATCCAAATTGTGCCACAGTTTTCTCTAGCTGAAACTGACATTTAGGGGCCATG